TAAGACTGCTTTCATTGTGTCCCATAGATTCCGATATGTTGTATTGTTATTGTCATTTAATTCAAGAAACTGTCTGATTTCTTCTTTAATTTCCTCTCTGACCCATTGGTTTTTCAGAAGCATGTTTTTCATTTTCCATGTCTTTATGAAATTTTTGCGGTTTCTTTTGCTGTTGATCTCCAGTTTCATCACACTATGGTTTAATAATATACAGGGAATAACTTCAGCTCCTTTACCCTTACCTAAATATGTTGTATGAGCAAGTATGTGGTCTGTTTTGGAGAATGACCCATGTGCAGCTGAGAGGAATGTGTATTCTGATTTTGTGGAGTGGAAGACTGTAAACATCTGTTAAGTTCATTTGTTCAAGAGTTTGATTGAGTTCTAGTACTTTGTTGCTTATTTTTCTCTCGTTGATCTGTTTGTTGACAGTGGGGTATTGAGGTCCCCCACTACTATTGTATTAGTGCTTATATGATTTTTCATGTCCGTTAGTAATTGTTTTATATAGTTGGGTGCACTAGTGTTTGGTGCATAGATATTTATGATTGTCTTCTCTTCCTCTTGGATTGTTCCCTTTACAAGGATGTAGTATCCGTCTTTGTCTCCCTTAATCAGTGTTGGTTTGAAATCCACTTGATCTGCAAAGAGGATAGCTACTCCTGCTTTTTTTCAGGTTCCTGCTGCAGGGAGTGTTGTTTTCCACCTTTTAACTTTCAGTGTATGAGTTCTTTTTGAATTAAGTATGTTTCTTATATGCAGCATATTGTTGGATCTTGCTTGTTAACCCATTCTGCCAGTCTGTTTCTTTTGATTGGTGAGTTGATACCATTAATATTGATGGTTATAACTGATATGTATTGAGTTATCACTGTCATGACTTTCTTTTTGTTAGCTTCTCCCCCTTTACATTTAATTTCTTGTCATGCCCAATGGATTCATTCTACTGGGCTTCCTGGGGTTGTGATCCTCATTGTCTGTTCCTAGGATATTGTCTAATATTTTTTGGAGATCTGGTTTGGTATTTATGAAGTTCCTAAGGTGCTGTTTGTTATGAAATTATCTTATTTCTCCATCAATTTTGAAAGATAGTTTTACAGGTTATATCAGTTGGGGTTGGAACTTGTTTTCCTTTAGGGCTTGGAATACATCACTCCAAGTTCTTCTTGCCTTGAG